CCCTTGAACTTTTGACCTATGACGTCACACATTCTATGACTCATACAGGAAGTTTGAGAAGCCACATATTTTAAATTTTGATTTCTGTGCCAGTCTCTGCCATCTGTCTGCAATTTTCACTTGTAAGTATATATTTGATTGTTTTGTTATGATTAAATGAGCATATGTTAGGTGCACCTATTATATAGAAGACTTTCAAATACCAGATAGGCTCTATGGGATAGGCTAGGGTGAAATTCAAAGATAGATCTAAAAATAAATTCAGGAGAAATTGAAAAAAAATTTCAAAGTCACTGAAAGTCTTGTCTTAAAAGTCCAGGGCATAGGCTAGTTCTTTGGAGTTTTAAAAAAGATATTTATAATCTGCAATGCATAACGTTTTCTGAATGAAGCAAGACATGGGCCAAAATCCTGGCCAAAATGTAATTTCTGAGTGATATTTCTAGGCTACCTTTTTATTTTATAGACTTGATGTTGGCATTGGTCAGATGTTGGCATATCATGAGGAGTGAAGGCAGTGAAGAATACAATAATTACATAATCAATGGATGGAGGGCCATGTATCAGCAATGCGTGGAATGCAACCGGGAATAGCTATTTAGGCTAGGTGCGTAGAGTAAACGTTTTACAGTTTTATGAAATCTAGGCTAATTTTGCTTATTCAGCGTATCGTTGGAATCGTGCCCCCATGTCATATCACCATGTTCATTTCACATCACCATGTTCCCATGTTATATCACCATGTTCATTTCATATCACCATGTTCCCATGTTAGATCACAATGTTCATGTCATATCACCATGCTCCCATGTTATATCACCATGTTCATGTCATATCACCATGATCCCATGTTATATCACCATGTTCATTTCATATCACCATGTACCCTTTTATATCACCACGTTCATTTCATATCACCATGTTCCCATGTTATGTCACCATGTTCATTTCATATTACCTGCTCCCATGTTATGTCACCATGTTCATTTCATATTACCTGCTCCCATGTTATATCACCATGTTTGTTTTATATCATCATGCCCCAATGTTATATCACCATTCATTTCATCATGCTACCATGTTCATAACCTTATTATGCCCTCATGTCATATCACCAATTCAACATGTTAATAGCCTATGCTTCCTCACAGGGCTATAATGAAATTGTAAATATGTCAACCCTAACTATGACAAAATAATCTAGCATTATATTATATTAACTTTTGGCCCCTGTTAAAATATTATAAACAATTTGTGTATGCAAACTGAATTCTCTGTTCAAAGATATTATTTGATTTATTTCGAACTTTAATTTACATTAACTATTATGGTAAGCAAATCTGCCAATGTTCATAGAAAACTATATTTTCAGGTAACTGTTATCAGTTATAACAACAAAAAGCTTGTGGGGGTGGAGCAAAAACCCAAAAGGATGGTTAAACTATGAACAACTTTCACGAGGTATGTATTGATTTATCAAATTAATTGATTAATTCACAATTAAGATGCACCAAAAGGGCAAGCATATGCAGGGTAAAACATTACTACACCTAAGAAGAGCTGTATTTAGTAACATTCCAACTGGCACCTCTTCAGAAGAGGATGTGCAGCAATGCCTCATGGCAATGGTGAGTATTATAGCATTGGAAAATACAATTATTAGAACAGGTTCAATGATGCAGTCGTGTTTTTAATCTATATTTGCAATGGAACATCCATTCTTATTGACATTCTCAGGATTTATTCTGGAGACAATTTCCAACTTGTAAATTAAATATTGTATCAAAATTCATAATCTTATGATTTTGATAGCTTTTTTTAAAAACACTTCAGTGTCAATAAAATACAGTTTTCCATGTTGGAAATTGCCTCCAGAATGAATCTTAAAAATTTCAAGAAGAATAGTTGTTCCATTGAAGTTATCTGGGGTACTATACACTATACAGCCTATAGGTGATCTAGTTAATATATCCATTGAAGAATCAGTTAATTAACAATGAACATTTAACAATAATTTGAAAAGTAGGCCTAATGTGAAATAACTTCTTTGAATGTGTCAACAAATGTAAAGATAGACATTGAGAGCGTGGAAGCATTCACTTTCCTTTTCTGAATGGTGCATACAAAGGGCATTTTGAATATGGAATCAAATACTTCTTTCAGAGGAAGGCAACAGATATGTCCCAATTATGGGAAAGTGTAGAAGGCAACAAAGGCCTAAAGGATTCAACATCCTTCTTTGAGGATGTCAAAGGAGTTGCTCAACGGTAAGTGTAAATGGGCAATATGGACTTTTTAAACTTATTTAATTTACACACTTCTAATAAATACAACTTTTGTAATTCCTATATATGGTGCCCTATATGCCAGCAATCTTACTCCAATGGTAATAGAATTCAAAATTATTGACCTTGATAAATATTTTTTTTTTTACCTTTGAAGTCTACACATTGAGTCAAAAGTAATAAAGATAACATGATAAGTAATAATAATAGAAGGCTTATGCATAATTTTGTAATAATATTGGTAAAGAATATTGTACTTACAGTGTATTAATGTATAGGACATTCATAATTCCAGTTACCACACAAGATGGGAGGACCTTAAAAAGATCCAAACAGAAGCCATCGCGATGACAAATGCAAGGACTTCAGACGAATAGACAGTAGTATATCCTTCTGTGCTGCAACTTTGACAATATTATAGAGACTGCTGATCATTTCCGAAACAAATGTGTTCCTTTGTTACACAAATACTAAAGAGAGAATCGCAGAGATAGCGAGCAGGCCAAATAGATATAATATTCTAGTAGTACTTACATACTAAATTCAATGTAAATAAGTTATGGGAAAATAAATTATAATATATATTTCGATAAAATTGTGTGTTTATTATGTTTTTGAATAAAAAAAACATAGAATTAGCATTAAACATCTTCTAACTTAATTAGCTTGTTTCAAGCTTGATTTATTATTAAATCAGTCCTTAATTTAGTATTAATCCTAAACCTTTATTAAGCTTACTTTAAGCTTGATTGATCATTAATTCAACCATAATTTTACCCAAAATATCATCAACCTTGATTTAGCATTAATATCCTCAGCCTTGATTAAGCTTATTTTAAGCTTGATTTAACATTGATTTAGCCTTGATTTACCCAAAATATTCTCAACCTTGATTTAGCATTGATTTTTTCAAGCCTGAATCAAGCTTGATTCAGCACTGAAATAACCCTTGGGCAAATATTGCTTTTTCAATGCTTGAGAAGATCAATGTTGAATCAAGGTTGATTTTTTGTTAAATCAACATTGAGAAATGTTTGCTGTGTAAGTCAAGATGGTTGCTCCATGGTGAATACCTCATATCAATGGTACTTTGAGTCTTGAATCATGACCTTGAGCTCAATCTGTATCTTTCATAGATTAATTACTGATATTTGATCTATAACCAATAAGCAAGCCTAAAGCTCTATCATTTGATCAATACTATTGAACGTTGTTACAAGTGAAATGCTCGGTTGACTGATTTTTGAAGGGAACTTATTTTTATTAGTGGCTAATGCCATTGAATACAATAATAGTGTTTCTTCTTAAACAAAAATAGATAGAACATTCATAAATTGTATTTTAGTTACTATGAAGTAGTCAAAACAATTAATCATACCTATGTTTTTTTGTTTCTAATGTAAATAATGAATGTTGATATCAATTAGTACATGTAGTGACAATGTTCAGCACCACAATATGGTGAAGTAAGTCATACTTTTCTTTATGAACTAACTTCAGACTATCAAAACATTTTCTAGCCTTCTGTTTACATTTTACAGAAGGGCACTGAATTGAAAAGATCTAAAAATGTCCAAATTCAGCATCTCTTTTAGGGACTTAAAGGAATGGATAGTATTGTTGTTAAACATAGTTGATCATCAGACAAGACAACTCAGGTAGTACAGTAGGAAAAGACACACAGTGAGTAAGTGATGATTATTGCACCTTGAAGAGTAAAATGGCCATTGGTCACCAAGTGATTTATACAGCATTCCCAGAACCATATCATATCTGGCATAGTCTGCTTTTGCAAGTTCAACAGATAAGCTGAGACAATAACTTTTCCAAATATGTGAAATGTGTTCAAATTCATTACATCTTATCAATAATCAAGCATTTGACATGTCTAAGGCAATACTTAATACTTTTAATTTAACGATTAAAGTATATTCTATGAAGTGTGAGACTTTGGTTAGACAGTCAGGCCAGGAAAGTGTTCTTGCAATCCAACCTATCTTGATCTCCAATTAAGAAAGGAAACTTGAAGTAACAACATTGGGATGAGTCTAAGTGTTTAGATCATCGATGGGCTAAGAGTCTAGATTTAGTAGCGACTACCCACCAAAACAAACACACACATACCCATTAGCACAAGTTGACAATAATAAAGCACTTTATTTTTGTGCAATAACAATTCTTGCAACTACAGTGAGTTCACTAAGCTCTATTATACACCCGGGAATATACATGCAGCGAACAGAAATTGCATGGACTGGAGGTTCACCATCAGCTTGAAAACAGCCGACACAGCAATCATTATTTCCATATTCGCTCAAATTATTACTTTCCATCAACATTGACATTACGTTATTTTTACATTGATACTTACCCACCATGACAATGCATCACCTTTGTAAACAAACCAAAATAAAAAGACTGAAAATATTGACATTTGTCAAACGTGGGCGATAATAGGGATATATGGACTTTTCAAAATTATTAATTTTCAAATCCATATTGTGCAAATTAAAAAGCCATAGCAAACCTGTTAATGCATATCAGGTGCAAATTGATTATCTCAATCTCTGCAACGACTGGTCAATGGTATCGGTTCTCCTCTATTCACTCCAGAGTAGACCCGCGAACTTCGATCAACTTTCCGTTTCTGAAATTTGTTAATGTGATACTTGTCCACTAGGTGCAGCACCAATGTTCGAGAGAGGGTTCCAATTCAGAGAACCCCATCATTTCAAATATGGCGGCATGAATGTTTCCTGTCAGAAAATTAATCTTGGAAATTGGTGCACAACTCTACAAAAGACAAAGAACAAGTAAAATAGCATCTCTTTCGTTAAAGGTATAATACATTCTTTATTGTGATACATTGAAAATTGTACAGGGTTTGTTCCTAGGTGGTTAAAAACGAAATATGACAAAAATTTAATTTACATGATTCACTTCCTGGTTCTATTTTTCAGTTTGAAACTTTTAAATAACTGACGAAAGACAGTTTGAACTGATAAACAAGTCGTCTAATCAGTTGCAGCAGATGAGCAGTTACAAAGTTTTTTCATTTTGCGAATGTGTTTCTTGTTTTGGGTTACCTTGCAACATTGGCTCGTCTTGACCGTTGAATCATGCATCACATTCTATCTATTGCAAGACTCATGCCTGGCACAACCGTCACCATGTTATTAAGTGTATTTAAGTTTCGCAAGGATCCTGCCATGACCGTGGTAGTGTTTATCCTGAAAGCCTGGTATAACCGTGACAATGCTAAGGTCGGAGACATTATAAACCTCAACCATCAAAAGTTGTCACAATGAACTAAATTCTAAGTTTCGTGTCTCCCAAGCGGTAGAAAACTAATCCCTGTTCACTTTTAGTAGCACAATAAATGAATCCAAAGCCCATACCTGCAAATAATGGATAAAATGAAACGAATGTTTTCATGAATCACCATGTTTGTGAGGATTGACTCCCAGAATGCAACGTCAGTTAACCTCATTTACTCGTGACAGGTTTCAAAATGGCGGAACGGCATTCATAGAAAAAGAAAAGAAAAGAAAAAAAATTAATTGAAAAGCAATCTATTTTCCTTTTTATGACCGCCATTTTCTAAAATTTCAAAGATTGTATCATTTAGAGCAATTTATTGGGCACATTTTCTTAAAAATTCAAAAGATTCTGTTCAGTGACCTTTCCTAAGTGCATACTTTTAGCTATTTTTTAGTCACATTTTCAGAGGGCTGAAAAGGTTATTTCATCATGTTTAGGGTCATTCTGACAATTTCCATTGCGTTCCTGGTCATGTAAATGATATGTGGAACTAGTAAACTGACTGGAGGTTAAAACAGAACTCTGTTATCTTGGTTCAAAAAATTTTCAAAATCCTGCATGATTTTGAAACTTTTTGTTTTGTCACTTCCTGTTAACTACCACTGCACATTAAATCCTGATATGACCATGACGATGTTCAGGTTCTTGAATGAGATTAGAATTAGTTAAAGAAGTAGTAAGATTAGAAAGAGTTATTTACATATTTAAGGGAGTTAAACGATGAACTTTTTCATAACGGTATTTTCATGCTACTAAAGGCCATTTAATATAACCATTGTCATAGTCATATCGTGCTTTAACATTACCATGGTCATGTCAGGCATTGCAACCATTGTCACGGTCATATCAGGCTTTAACATTACCAAGGTCATCACAGGCCTTGCAACCATTGTCATGGTCAAATCAGGCTTTAACATCTGGAGGTCTGGATTGTGCTGAAAAATACACAAAATCGGTGCAATTTATGTATGAATAATGAAAGAATTAGAGGACAGGAAGGCAATGTCGTCCATGTAATTGATCGTCGGACAATTGGCTGCTCAAAGTTTCTGACAATTACCTACATGTATAGCATTGCCTCCCCATCCTTTAGTGATCGATTGAAGAATTTCAGTATAGTCTTGTCTTTGTTTTTCAGTCTAAAGGGAAGCTGTTTCATTTCTCTTAAAATATGTAGTAGCTATTAATTGAGTGAAGTTTTGGAGTGAAGGGTTCTGCTTGAATATACCTTGGTATATTTTAGTATATATTCTACTCTTGCACTTTGTAAAGCAGATCTATACTCAAGATTAATTAGATACCATAGTCTCTCCAATAAAGGCACAGTGCGTTTACCAAAAGGAGATGTCTCAAATTACAAAATCCCCAGGGATTTATTGAAAAAAATCTTTTGGGCGATAATAGGAAAATAGGGTATTTCATGATACTCACTCCAACTAGATAACATAATGTCATACCTCGATGTTTTCTTCATGCATTTATCGATCTGCTGAATGTGTTTCCGTGGGTTAGTTGACATACATATACATGTATATACATCAATATTGATGATAAACATCTACTCAAATTGCTCAGAGCGGGCGCCATTTTTGAAATTGACGCCGATACCTGAGTCAAAATCTAAAGGCTTTATTTTCTGACCACATTTCAAAAATATCATGGCAGAAAAGCATCACCTGACAAGATAGATACATATATATAGATATACATGTATACATATTTATGAGTGAAGAGTTATTAGATTCATTTCGGCAAGAATTGTTGGTTCTTGCAAGAAATTAGTTTTAGATAATTCTCTTGGTATGGATGGATGGTGCTTTAAATTAGAATAAATGTATTGGGATATATCATTGCTAAAGGTAGTAGTACGTTCATATTTGCAAATGTCCTCATTACGAAGTAATTTCTTCTGCAACATTTTGGAATTTCTTTATTTTTTGTAACATTTTACAAGGCACATCTAATTGCATTGAAGAGCATTTTGGTTTTATGAAATACATGGAGGTGCTGCACCTCAGGGATTTCAATGTGGGGAGAGCACTGGGTACTGTATCACTCACAATCATCTCGAAATAGGACATCATCAAGGCCCCTGTTACTTAAATAGACTTGATGTTAGACACATATTTCCAAGGGGCTTCATTATCTTTAATTAATGATTCATCTTTTGCTGCATTACCACCAGGGTTAGCTACAGGTTTTTATGGTGGTATTATATTGTTATAGTCTCCAACTTTTTTGTGGACTGTGTGCAGTGGTTGGTGTTCAGCTTTCGGCTTCTGTAACAAATGGCAGGTGGTGGTGGCATTTTGCATATTAGTATGTTATTTATGATAGAGGAATTTTAAAGGCTAAACTTAATTAATGAAAACTTTCCATTTTTAACACATAAATCTGTAGCCGTAAAAAAGTGCTGTATCTTGAAATATTGTTCATAGTTATGAGAATGAAGAAAATTTTTAAATAGTTCATAAAGTTAAAAAGTCAATAAAAAGTTTTCGACATAAGATTTTCCATATCACATTCTCTCTCAGGTACCGAAACAGAAATGAGTAGCTTCGTTCTTTGATCCTATGGGGTTGTGGTATTCTTGAACTACCTAAAAGTACAACAAATATAAGTTAAATTTCTTGATTTGTTCTGACATCAATCAGATTTTATTAAAAAAGAGAGGATGGATGTCAAGCTATAAGGAAATTAATTTAGAATCAAATTGACTTGGCACTTATATACACATTGAAATTACATCCAGTAGATGCTTGAACTTATGAGTTTTACTTCATTGTTTGACAAGTCTATTTGCAGTATGGATTAGTTCTGAAAATATTGATGCATGTAATACACGCTAATTTACTATGTCATCAAAACCAACAGTCTAATTATAATATATATTGATAAATTATATCCAGGGCTTTCAGTAGTGTGTCTTTAACATTAGGAGGACCCGGATTTTGATGTCAGGACTCAAAAAAAGTGATCTGTCCCTAAGACGCAAAGTCTGTACAGTTTTTTTATTTAACCAAACTTTTTCTGTTGTTTTTATGGGACCCACTTTTTCATGAAGGGACCAATAATGTTTTAATTGTAGAACTGCTCTACTGAATGCACTGTATACATTATCTAATTTAAGGCATACAGTTAGAGTCAGTAATAAAATATAAAAAAATATTCTGTCATTGTTTTATTCAGACTTAATAGAATGGAACTTTCCATCTTTTTTGAATGAACAGAAAAGGAAAAAGAAAAAGCACCATTCTCTCCTTATTTTACAATAATGGAATAGATATCCTAGAAGTTAACTTCGCAGGGAACAGAGCCTTCCTTTAACAGGAAACACTCGGAAGTCAGAAGATGAAGAAGAAAAATAAAACCTAAGTGTTCCCACAGTAGCCGTTACTTGGCTTTTGTATGGTTTCGAGTGTATTGATTTATTTTAGAAAGATCATATCACTTTGTTTGCACTAAGAGGACAAAAAAACATTACTTCAGTGTGTCATATATTGGTTGTTTCTGAATGGTCTTTTAAAGATTTAATGCTTTTTCTGTACAAATCCTTTGTTTTAAGAAGCTTCTGTATTGTTTGATTTCCCTTTTATTCATTTAAAATTGATAATATATATGAAATCAAGATACTTGTTGACTTGTTTTACAAGTGCATGTAATCAAGTTGCAAACATCAATCCACCTATCACAAGATCAGACTTAGAATCACAACTCCTTTGTGTAAGAAAGAAAATAAAAATTTCTTGAGATGAAACAAAATCATGTTTATTAATCATGCAAAAAGTATGAGTCAATGACAGGGCCGCTCGAATTTTTTTTGATTTGATCAAAGCGTCCACACTCCATTTTGGGGTGTTGGCGCTAAAAAGTATTTACCAAGACTGATTTTTACATATTAGATAGTTCCAAGAACTACAGTTAATTTTAAGAAAATCAAATCATGTGTCACTGACTTTCATTTATTGTTGATCTTTGAGAAAAATACTACTTTGTATTTTTTGTCTAATATTTTGTTTTTATCACAGCATCTGTGGGATATTGTCGTCATGATGATGGCATTATTGTGATTGTTATCTTGATTGTCCCACTTTTTTTGTCATTGCCATTTATTAAGTGCCAAAAGTGGATAGTTTAAAATAGACAGTTTGAAAATTGAAAAGAAGTTTGACAAGGTAAAACTGAAAACACTTATTAGTGATATCCTAAAGATCTTTCTCAACATGATGTAAAATCCTAAATTTATCAATTTTGGTCAAAATATGTCAATATTTCATCATTGTGACATGGTTCCTTATTAACATGCACTTTTCAACAATTTGGCAACTTATTATCAGGATTCATTACCCAGTTGCTAGGGAGAAACTGGAAAATTAAGCCCATTTTTGAGAATTTCCCAAAAAATGTTAAACATATTCTAGGCCCCATTAGTTTTTAGCCTATATGCAAATGTGGAAGAGACTTGAAAGATAAGTAAAACAGAGTTTGCCTGAAGTTAAAGTCTGTTTAAGGTTATAAAGGTCATACTCTAATCACAACACCATATGTTTGTCACAAATATCCGGAGTAATAGCTTCTGAAATATTCAAGTCAGGCTAACTGACATTGTTGCATTTTATAAACATCATGACATTCACTATTTTTAACCAGGAAGAATTGTGTAGACGTTTATTGAGGCTTGAATTAAATATTTCCTGTTGGGTATTTAACTGTGTCTGAACTTCCAGATATTGCACTTTGGATAATTATAGACATAAAAAAACATATTGCTTTCTATTACTTATCAATTACTGGATTATGAGCTGACACTTGAGAATGAACATACGGTTTTGGATTTGAAGTTAGTAAGTTGGCTTTAAAAACACTGAACATTCTTTACATGACATTTCAAAGGAAGAGCATAGTAAATTGGTAGTGTAAACATCAGCAAGAGGCATATGATTGGAAGGGGTCTTTTAGACTATATGTACTGCCACAACACAGCCAAAGTACACCAGTTTGGAATTCTTCAGATTTTCTTAATACAGATATTTAGTCTGCTTGTTCGTACATCGTATTTGGGGATTGGCGCATAGCTATTTTAGGATTGTATCTAGTGAAATGATATAGTAAACAGATTTGAACAGAATCTCGTTAGTTCATTTTTTGTTTATTTTCAGAACTTGTGAATACCCAGAACGCCTGACCCTGGGGCATCCATCTGCTAAGGGAGACAAAAAGAAAGGGACATTCCCATCGGGACACTTGCCTGGGCTCATATCTGTTTGTGCCCAATGTAAACAGTCACCATGAGCCACCAGGGACAAGTTCATCAGGTATGACAACTCTTCATTAATCTTTGAAATGGTGTCGAAATTTTTGACAGTTGTGGAAATCTACCATATTCTCTCTACAATTCTTTGGTTTTATTGTTCTCAAGTTGATGTGGATGTTCAGAATTTTATGCAGTCCAACATTGAAGTCCCATGTTATTGTCAGGAATAAAATAAATCATTTTATATATGGTCTAAATCTTTCCCATTTACACAAAGAGTCCCCTAATGTATACACTTAGAAAAGAGTGGAGGGAATATTTTGTTTATAAAATGTATGAAAATGAGAAAATTCAGTAACCTACTTTATAAAAGTCCTTACTAAAGTTACTTTATTAATATTTTACAATTTTTTATACATCTTATAAAAAATGGTTCACTGTACTCTCTTCAAGGTACCTTAGTACACTCTTTTTGCAAATGTGAAATACGTAGACCATGTTTGAAATGTAACTCAAATGAGAACTGCATAAAAGTTTCAAATGTACACATCTACCTTAAAATGTAACTGTTGCAACATAATCACTTTGGACTTCATTGTGCAAGATCATTTAGAACAAAATAAACAAAACAAGATTACTGTGTGCAATGACGTGTTGTTGTATATTAGAGTGTTGTCCTTATTAGATGGGATGGTTTGACACTGTTCTATAACTCAATCACCATGACAATTAACATTGCAAAATGAACACACCCTTATCAGGTCACCACGAACAGGACTATTCTTATCTGAGATTGTCTCACCAAAAGGGTCGTCAATAGAAATGATATTATGGGGCAAACCTAAAGTGCATGTGAACCTGGAGACCTATTTAATTTGCCCCCCCCCCGCACTTGCTGACTAAGATAATTTCAATTTAGACCCATAGCCAACTTTTGCCAAGGGGGTACACTTTTCAAAAAATTCTAAGGGGGCTCACTTTGACAAATTTGGCCCAAAATGAAAAATACTCAGAATGGTGATAACTGCATGATGTTTAAGAATTTTTGGTCAGGGCGAACCCCCCTGGCTATGGGCAGGGAAACCTATCCAACCGATGTAACAACTTGTCTAATTACTTTATTCATGGGTTCCCTTTGCATTTGTTCGACTTTGCTTCTTTAAAGAGAACTTCATCCTCACTCTTTCAGTTTAAAATAAATTTCTGAACTCACTGAATCAGAGTTTGTCATTGAAATATAGATAACTTTCTTAATCCTATGCTAAGTAGAGTTTTAGGGAGATAAGTTGGTAAGATATATCCCGTATCCTGATTTTGAGGTTTCCATATCCAGAACCTCCATATCTACCGCCATATCTCACGCTCGGTACATATCTTCCCGCTTCCGGTGCATATCTTTCCGCTTCCAGTAATGCAATAAAATGACTTTACATATGAATGATTTGTTTATTTTTACACCTTGTACTATTGAAATGGCCATATGCCCCTGAAAACTCTACTTGGTATAGGATAAAGCAGTTACGGTCGGTTTGGATATTGGGCTCATCCCTCGTGAGATATGCACATATACCTTCGGTCCCTACGGTCCCTCAGGTAGATATGCATATCTCCCTCTGGATAAAACCCATATCCAAAACCTCCCAGTACATAACCCTTATATATGTGGTAAATATATTCTAAACTGTAATATAGTCCAGGCCTGTAGCCAGGGGGGGGGGGGGTTCGATAGGTTTGAGTGAACCCCCCCCCCTGACCAAAAAATCTTTCAAAATCATGCAGTTTTCACCATTCTGAGCACTTTTTATAGTGATTTTGGCCATTTTTGGACCAAAATTGTCACAAGTGAACCCCCCCTGGCAAACCCTGGGCTACGGGCCTGTAGTCTATACAAGGCAGATGGTATCGACTATAGCAAGGTATTTTATGAGTGAATATAGACAAGTTATATAAGCAATTCTCTTGTTATTTTGCTCTACTCCATTGATTAGGTTTTATTTACATCCAAAACATGATAAAAAAGGTTTGTTTGCAGAGTTAATTGATTTTCACATGGGTTCCTGTACTGATTGTTATAATATTGAACCTAGGAGAGTGATGTGAATGTGCGTATTAGATAATTTCTTAATATCTTAATTTGCAGTATTAGATTGATTAGGTGAACACTATACTGTTCATAGTTGTAAATGATTGCTTATAAATGAATGTATGTGACAACCAAAATTTTATTTTGATTTCACAATTTTTAATAAAAAAGTCCTAAAAACAATTAAATAAAAATTTTAAAAAGATCAGGCTGATAAAACTTGCTTTTTTAAATGTATGAAAAGATATGGTCCTTTAGATAAAATATCATGACCAAGTATTCTTTAATTGCACCACGAACAAGGAAAAAAGCTAATTTATGAGGTAATAATGAATAAATAAACTTTTATCTGAGTTCATAACAGGGTTTCGCACAGCCTCCAGAAATCCCTCAAACTAAAGTTATTCGATGTTCATTTCATGAGGTTTTGTCTTCGACTGTATAAACTCATTGGTTAGTCAGCAATTAAAGCATTAAATAATATGTGATGAAACCTCAACTAACATAGAAGTTTCTTAACAGAATAGACTGAACCTTGCAACCACTTAGAAATATGTTGAGGAGACATTGTTTACGATACATATTTGTTGTACATGGATGGAGTTTATTGTATTTTACGGTGAAGAAATCCATTTTAGAACTCAGAAGTAACTAACTGAGAGCCCAGCAAAGGGTAATTTACATAATGTGAATGAAGTGTATATAAAGTGAGATATCTACATCTGTAGAATCATATGCCTTTTTGTTACTTGCATTACATTCATATGTCATCATGGTCACATTCTTTCAATTGTACTTCATGGATAAAAGGATTATATATGGTTACTTTGCCTCATAAATATAAATTCCAAATGACATTTTTGCACCAACATAGTCATAACATATCAACTTTAGTTTCAGAGTATGCCCTCCAGGTACGCAACTATAGATTTTTATCTAATGGAGTCTGGCTTCAGAGTTGTTCCTCAAATTGCAATATATGCTGAAATCAATATCTTACTCATACATTTCTATTGATTTTGAATAACATTTTATTTTGTCTTAGAGTCCCTGTTTAAAGATTAAAGAATGTTCAAACATGATTACGGGGCTTGGAGGTTGCGATAACAGGTGTCAGATAGAATTCTGAATCCTAACTCTGGAAAAATTAAACAACAATTTTAATTATTGATCATGTGGTTTAATTTTAATGTGTTATTCCTGGGAATTCTCCATATTGTCTAAATGTGTTCTGTAATTGTAGAATTCATTTTATTTAATTTCAATGCTAGCATCATTTCCTCAAAAAAGCTTCGGAAAAAACTAATGTAACTGAAAAATATTTAAGAAAATGATTGATGTAAAAATTCTTCATTGATTATTCAGTAAATAAAAAGCAAAAAATTAATCTAAGGAGACTAGCTTAATCGGGCAAAAATGTTCTATTGATTAGCTTATCGTATAACAGCAATTAATTTCTGCTAGGAGACTGTAACTAGACCATTGATCCTGTAAAAGGCATTATTTTATCTATAAAACATAAGTTATAATGGAAGTTGAAGCACCGGTTGGATGTATTACACTGAGCTATCTAAAACGATGCATGTTGAAGTGGGCCAGACTAAATAAGAAATTGGCGATCAAGGTTTGATAATTTTACTTGCATATACTTAAAACAAAGCAAATGATTATTTTCTCTTAAAAATTAAAAGTAGGTATATATATTACAAAAAGAAGCATAGAATTGTGATCCATGTAATTTATTGTATTCCAGTAATTTATACGGATTTTACCAAACGTTTGTGTACTATGAAATATGTGCTTACTTAAAATCCATCTAGTGTAAAATATCTACTCACGGACCATTTTTTAGAGATAGTTAGTAAAATATTCATTAAAGTCTCACACTGTAGTTTACAATATACATACTAAAATATACACATATTCACAGTTGCCAGCTTTGGCATATGAGAGACTCAGAAAACTCATGTCTCGTGGTTATGTTTGTAATTCATGTATAAAAGATTATCAAAAAATAATTTTACATCATACTGTCTCTGTTATATAACAATACTTGGGTGATATATATGTAAATGTGTTATCATTTCCCTCGCATCAAACGAACTCCCCGTTATCTATAAATGCATAAAATCTTAACCATTTTTATCTTCTGGAAGTTTGTGTTTTGTCAGAATATTTCCTGTTCTCACCCAAACTTAGGTTTTACATGATTTTAATCGACCACGAATGTTATATCGACTCGCATCTTGCATTTTGCAGAGAACATACTCACTAATGGCTTCAAACAGCCAACACAAACAAACATGATGTTATAGCACTTATTAGGTTGCACAGTTTATTTCTGCAAGCATACTTTAGAAATTTAAGAAAGTAAGCCAGGAAATTCAGTTATGTCTGCTATTAATGATGATAAACATATATAGTAGCTGATTTCGTGGAATTGTATAGGCAAAAGGGAGAGTAATGAAGCACAGTAATTCATAGGCAGTTTTATTGTACAGATACATATACAGTTTTTTATTGTACAGATACATATACAGTAATTTGTAGGAAAATTATGGTTTAGGCACTCAAAGCAGATTTATTCTTAGGCAGTAGATAAAACACATATATAATTATGACTTGGGTAAATGTTTTCCAAATTATGTATTGTATTATCATTTAAGGTATTCAATAAATAATATTGAAAAATGGAATGAAAGTGAAAACAATATTTGAAGGAACTAACAACTTCAGATATACTAAAATTGGGTAAGGAAATAAAATTGAAGATTTCATTGGCTGAAAGATTTTCATTATAATGCAATCATTTTCTATCAGGAAGTTATCAGAATAATATATGTACGATTATTTTATTTTCTTGAGGGGAATACCTGTGCATTGTGCCTGTGCATCTTTCACAAGTAACACGTTGTAACTTTTAATGTGTTATAGGAACATTGGTCCCCAGGGACTGAGGTAGTTGCTCTCTATAACTTCCAAGGAAACTCCAGTGAAGATCTGCCTTTTCAGAAGAGAGACACTCTCAGCATACTACGCTCAACTAGGGTAAGAATCACTCTCATACTCTAAGCATTTTCCATTTTGCATGAAGCAAAGAATGTTGTAGAAAATCGTGATCTCTCGGGATGATCTCTCTATGTGGTGTGTCACATGTGTCAATCAAATATGTACAATCGTGGTAACCCTTATTGGGTCTGTTATATTGATTCATTTTTGACAAGTAGCAACTCTTTGGTGTCATATTTATGTTGGACATAGAGGGACTTAGGCAGGATTCACAATTTTACTCAATACTATTGTTTTACATTTCAACTAAGATCATATACTGTATAGTTGCACACTTGACATTTCAGTTATGGTTGGCCAGGGGGCCATTTCTCGAAACTTATCGTTATTTACAAATCAGAATTGACTTTTTTCACTTTCCAATTCACCAGTGGGCTACAGTATCACTAATCCTCATTCTGAATATAACTATGTGAATATAATTTGAGATACAATGCCGGCTGGTAGCCAGTATTTACCGGTCGAGGGGAGGTGTTTTAGCAAGGGGCAGAGCTTTTTGACATTTTTGGCTGCTCCCTCCACTTTCCCTGGCTACAGGCCTGATATACGGGGCTTCTATTCCTAATGTCCCTTCTGCCATCTATACACATTCACAACTATGGTTGGAAGTCAGTGTTTTGACTTGGCCATATGATGTGACCTCCATTTATCACTTACTATTTGCTACAAGGATATTCTGCTGTCCTGTGACCAGGCTAATAGGCCATTTGCTATGTTTATAGTTCATATATCATTATAACCTAGTTTTTATGTCTTAAGGAGAGCAGTTGGTCATAATTGTTGTTCATTTGTTGAGGCAATTATGTTATTATGCAATTGTACCTTCAATAGGATTTAAGTCAACATTTAATCTAATATTTATAATTTTTTTTTAATTTTTTTGAATTAGTACCTCCATAACATTATATATTAAAGCATATCAATTTAACAAAAAGGTTGTCTAAATTCAGTCTGTGTAACCAACCACCCCCCCCCCCCTTCTGCCCCGCCTCTCCATGAATTTCTCAAAACAGGCTAAATAAATGAGAACAATAGGCAAAATTAATGGAAATCATAAATTTAACATGGAAAAGTCCCAAAAAACAATAGGCGATTTTGTGAAAACAACCAGTGAAAATCGCCTGTTGCCCGCTGTTAATGAAACCCATGTTCAACTAAAAACAAGCAATTAACCTTGGTTTAAACATAAATCCCAAAGAATGTTTAAAACATCACTAAATTTTATACAAGTACGACATACTATTCCAAGTTCTGACTATCTGTCCTCCTTAAAAGATATATACTTTTTTTCTCAAACAGTTTATTATGTTCATAACATGAACATGGTAGCCTTGCGATCTCATCACCAGGTAGGGATCACATTCAACTTGAATATTATTGGTATAAAACTTCATATATACTGTGCATTTACAATGAGAAATTAATTAGGCAAGGGGTAGGGTTAGATACCTGATCTAAGGACTAACTTTTATGGCTTAAGATTATAAAGTAAGTACACATGTACTTAACTTACAAGTACGTATGCAATGTGAAAATGCCATCATTTTTTCATGAACATGTAAAATGTGTAATTTAATGGCGCCACTAGACGTTCATTGCGTAAAGTGAGATGAGTAAAAGTCATGTTGTCTAAGGCATAAAATCAATCATAGAACTAAAAAAAGCTTTATCATAAGTCTACGTTACAGTGGCACACGGCCACTTTAGAATGTAATGCAATAAATGAAGACGTGATTTTTATATGGTTGGATTATGGAGTAATATATTTGCATCAAAAGGCAGCTGGTAAATAGTATCAAAATCATGCAGGCTTACTACATGTATAGTGGGAACATTAAGAAAGTCAGTATATGTATATGTAGTATATGGCGTTTCATGGCTCTCACCAGGGAATGTTTAGGGTGTGACGGAAACATCTTCAGCATCACCATTGAATCATGATAAATCACATTAATGTTATATTTTATCCTTTTTACACGTTATTATAGTGTATTCAGTCAAGTTTAGACTGTGGAAACAATCATGATTAGCCAATAGGTTGTGGTAAGAGCTAAATAGATTGTGGTGCCGCGCCACAGTCTAAAAGCCTAGCGAGAGCCATGTGTCATATTAGTGATGTCACATTTAAGCCATAAGTTACTTAATATCATAGGTCCAATGACAGGTTAAGATGATGATTTTATGGAACTCCATATGGTTTCAATAAAGCCCTTCTATAAATATCATCTAGGAATTTCATCTTTTTAACATCATAGTTCACCTGGATGATTTCCAAACATTTCTTGTTCAGTTTGCAAAAAGAGGAATTGAACAAGGTGTTAGTGCTACAAAACCCATTTGGAACCTAACTCCATTATACTGCACATATATTTGATTGGTTTTCTGCTTCCTTTCAGGATCCCAATTGGTACCAAGCAAGACTGAATGGCTCTGGTAGAGAAGGAATGATACCTGCTAACTATGTGCAAGTACGAGGGGAGGTGAAACTACATGCTATGCCGTAAGTGAATCTTCTCTATTCCGTGATATGTCCATTAAATGAAGATTTTTACTTGTACCCAAAAAGTTGGCTTACATCCATAACAAATAATTGATCATGACATCCCAAACAACAATAACAAATCTAGACCATGAAGCAGTGCATTAGAATAAAACATGAACTTTTTTGTATCCCATCGCATTTACTCACCTTTAGAAGACATATTATACACTATTCAACTTTTTGAGGCTTCAAAGAGAATGTTTGCATCTTCAGATGGTTCCACGGAAAGATCCCCCGTGACAAAGCTGAGGAATTATTACAACCAAGATCAGATGGACTATTTCTTGTGCGTGAAAGCACAAATTATCCTGGAGATTATACACTATGTGTCTGTTTTGGAGATAAAGTGGAACATTACCACATAGAGTTTAAAAATGGTAGACTGACAATAGATGATGAAGAATTTTTTGATAATTTAACAGAATTAGTTGAGGTAGGTTTAAATGATGGTTTTTTCTTTTTTCCCTATGAACAGATCCCCATTAGGTGATACACATTGATATATATCTTTTAGGAATGTAAAATAGAGAGATGTAAAATACTTTTTTGTGTTTTTGTTGATAACATTGTTATTTGTGGCACTATGATCTGTCATTGTAGCCTGATTATATCTCATTGTAGCACTATGATCTGTCATTGTAGCATGATCATCTCTCATTGTTGCACTATGATCTGTCATTGTAGCATGATTATCTCTCATTGTTACACTATAATCTCTCATTGTAGTATGATTATCTCTCATTGTAGCACTATGATCTGTCATTGTAGTATGATTATCTCTCATTGCACCACTATGATCTGTCATTGTAGCATGATCATCTCTCATTGTAGCACTATGATCTGTCATTGTAGTATGATTATCTCATTGTGGCACTATGATCTGTCATTGTAGCATGATTATCTCTCATTGTAGCACTATGATCTGCGAGGACCAGATGGTTTGTGTTGTAAGCTGACCATACCAGTAAAAAAACAGGGCAAGCTTGCAATGGCGGTAGACCAGAAACAATTCAAGGCCTCAGGGTGGGCCATTAAACTGAAAGAGATCACACTGGGGGACACCATTGGTAAAGGAGAATATGGAGGTATTAAACATATTTTGAATTGAATTTTTGGGGTTTTATTATGTCACCACCAGAAGTGATGACATATTGCTATAGTCTCCAATATTTTTGTTGACAGCTTTAGGCATATATAACATTGGGTCTGTTACAAATAATGGCATCTGTAACAAATGCCAGGTGGTGACATTTTACATTTTAATACCTTGTTTCATTTGGTAGGCTTTGTTTATTCTATAGCTTTATTAATAGATAGATGGCATGTATGTAGTCAATGTAGTCCATTAATTTCATATCAATGTTAAACCATTTGTTTAGTTTAGTCTGCTTACCGGTGCAACATATTACATTAACTTTTTACTGTTAATCATAATTTATTCATGTGACCTGGCATAAATGGATAACCATCGGTCAACTCAACCCGAGTCACCTCGATCCTTGGTCAATTCAGTTTAGTTCATATCAATGATTGGTAAACTCAACCCAAGTAATTTCAACTCGATCATGGTCATCTTAACCCTTGGTCAACTCAATTTAGTTCATATCAATGATTGGTAAACTCAATCCAAGTAATTTCAACTCGATCATGGTCATCTTAACCCTTGGTCAACTCAATTTAGTTCATATCAATGATTGGTAAACTCAATCCAAGTAATTTCAACTCGATCATGGTCATCTTAACCCTTGGTCACCTCAACCCAAGTCATCTCAACCATGCATACTGTAACCTTGAGGATGCTGTTTGAATGATAATTGTTTTTCTTAATTCTTATAATATTACTATTATATGTCTTCTTACTAGACTGTTTCAAAGACTTACCTCTTTGATTTCATTGTATGCTTTACCAAGGGTTGAGATGACTTGGGTTAAGTTGATATGGGGTTGAGTTGACCAAAAAAATAACAATAATTGTTAGAATGCTTTGTTATTACCCTTTGGTCACTTTTGTAATCATAAGTGAAAGCTTTTCAGGTTGTTATTCTGAAATATCATAGGTAAAAACATGTTGCTATTTTTTGATGCAGAGGAGACAAAAAACTGAGAATGGCAATGAGATTTGTTCCCACTGTTCTACTCATCTAATATATTGATAATATTTGATATATAATTCAAACCCACATGTTATTTTAGATCCAACTCGTGGCCGTGCTGGTAATTAATTGTTCCTTGCTTCAAATACAATCCCAGGCTGATTAAACTATTTTTTTATCGTACCTAAAAAAGGGTATGGAAGTTTTTAGATACATCTTGACATTGCGATTCCAAGAAAACCACTGAATGGATTTACTTCAAATTTTCACACATGTTACATGGTAAGAAGTTCTCGAGCTGATTATCTTTTCGGTGGCCATCTTACATTCGGGTGGCCATCTTGGAAGTTTTTAGATAATTCTTGTCATCGTAATTCCAGGAAAACCACTGAACGGAATTACTTCAACTTTTTACACATGTAACATGGTTCTAGAACTGATTAACTTTTTGGTGGCCATCTTGCTTTCTGGGTCATCAAGCCTACACTGCTATGTTTTAGGTACGATATTGTTCACCCTGAGCCTTGTTTGTTCAACTTTGGAGAGATTTTACACAAAATGTTGAGCTAGCAAAGCCTCTTAGGGGAGGCATCAAAAGTTCAATGTCTGATAGGAATCTAAATAAGTTTAGTTTTGAGTTTAACCCATCTTGATAAAGAAAGCATCAGGTAAAATCTTTATTTTTAAATCATTCCAAGGCATTCTGAGATTTGTCAGATAGCAAACTGATATGGCTGTAATGCCTCTCTTTAGATATTAAGACTTTTAATTTGAAAGTTATGGATTGCATAAACAAGGTTGTATGGTGCTTTGTATCCCATTTAATTCTCCAATTTTTGATGTGCTTCAGTCATATATTTTCTTAACTGAGTTATTTTCTTAACTGAGTTAGGATAAGCCCCAGTCACATTTGCTCTATGCGGGTGTATGGTGGGTGTAGCTTCACAAAATCGATATAGAAAATATACACCATACTGCACCATACTGCTGCTTATCCCTACATTTTATGCTGCACATTTATCTTGATTTTTGGAGGCTACAGTTGCCGTAAAATTACCGTATATCAAATGTGACAGAAGCATTACATTGATAACTGACGGCGTAAATTTAGGTTTTCTTCAAAAGCATGCAACTTCCAATCGCTACATCCCTGGTGAGATTATTGGTTAAATCCTCTGTTTTGTCATTCTTATATCATTTTCTTCTTTTTTTGTGGAAGCCTTGCCTTTTTATCTTTTTTTTGTTTGAATTAGGGCCAATCACCACTAATTTATAGAATCTACTTTCTGGGGTCTTGCTATCATTGTTGTTATTGCAACTGTCAAGAATGATTCATCAGTCTTTATATAATTACAGTACTTCCTAATGTATTAGACTTTATTTTTGGACTCAGTTAACCTAATTTATGTCACTTTTACAACTTTTGTAACAACTGCGTAGTTTGTATTGTGAGTACTGAAAACTGATTATTCTTAGTAGATTATATTATAACTAATAAATTTATGCTTTTCAGGTAATGTACTGAAACTCTTATTCTGTGACAGTTGCTTTGAATATTCTTCTGTCAGATAGACATATGCAACTTTGTATTTTTGATGTTATCTTACCTGAAATATTATGTGTTACACATTGAAATGCCCTAAAGTCAAGTTGTGAATTGAAATGCCCTAAAGTCGAGTTGTGAATTGAAATGCCCTCAAGCCGAGTTGTGAATTGAAGTGTCATAGAGCTAAATTGAAGTTGCAATTATTCTTTGCTTCCAGATGTGTATAAAGGTGAGTTCCGTGGTCAGAAGGTTGCAGTCAAAGCCATGAAAGACTCCACTAAAGCTGCCCAGCAGTTCCTGGCAGAGGCCTCACTCATGACGTAAGTAGAGAGCAGTGCATGTTATGCCCGTAGCCAGGATTTACCAAGGGGGGTTCAGTTTTCAAAAATTTCTGGGGGGGTTCACATTTGACAATTTTGGCCCAAATTTGTGAAAAACTGCATGATTTTGAGAGAAATTTCGTTTCAGAAGGTGTTGAAGTAATATACTCTATTAATTGTATATTAGCCTAAACACCCACCCAAACTGTCCATTCAATTAATCTTGATCCTCATCGTTTGTTAGTTTGCTTTGTGAAAAGTTCGTCTTTTAAACTGAAATAATTTGTGCCATTTTAATATGTTAAATTAAACATTGTGTAAGGTTGCTTAAAGCATGCATGTTGAGATGTGTATCTATTCTGTATGTATTTTTATTATTATTAATATTCAGGTCCCTTAAACACCCCAACCTGGTGCAGTTATTAGGAGTAGTTCTTGGAGAGAATGCCAGTGATACCATATATATTGTGACAGAATTCATGAGTAAAGGAAGCTTAGTTGAATACCTACGTACCAGAGGAAGACAAGTCATAACAAAACAGAACCAGATCAACTTTGCGTGGTGAGCTTTAATAGATTTAAGTAGACGAATGAATCGTATGATGATGAAAAATCATTACCTTCAAAGAAAAAGAAATATGATGTATTAAGTGCTAAGTCACAATTTTGTTATTAGCTACCCAATGATTTACTAAGGTAGTTAAACACTGGCAAATATGGCTCCATGTTATTGCATTGGAGCAATATAAGACTTGTGACATCACACTTTTGGAAAATAATTTTTTTAGTTTACAACATAAAATACATAATTTGAATGGATGATATTAAGTAAAAGGGATGTTTTAAATACCATTTATTGTGATTTTTATTTCCTAAGAATAAGCTATACAAAATCTATATGTTCAGTTCTCTGGGTGTAACACATGTCTTGTTGGGCTAGTGTCCTTTTGCTAAAACAGAAATAATCAAAAAGTAATCTTTTTTGGTTTCATTGAACTTCCTACATAGCTAATCCTTCATATCAGAGCTATTTTTCATTTGATTTCATTTAATTTTCTAGAAATACAGAAATATATTATGGGCTCTGATTACTGTCTCTCCAATTATTCTGCAAATTAAAAATCTCAAGTTGCCAGATCTCAAGTTTTATCATATAGTGGTTTGAATCCACGTACCACTGAATCAACGTGCCCTTTAATCAACATGCTCTTGAATTCGCGCTGAACACCCAGACGCGAATATAGCGGAAATTAGGGCGCCTTGAAAATTTGGGCTTTTACAGCATCAAAGTTAAACATTAACAACCTTGTTGATATATCAGACAGCTCCATGCGTCAAGGTATTAAACTAAAATTTTGTTGTTCTAGCGATACCTGTGCAGGCATGGCGTACCTAGATGAGAAAAATTTAGTCCACCGAGATTTAGCAGCGAGAAATGTATTGATATCTGAGGACGATAGAGCTAAGGTTTGTTCAAAGTCTTTAACTTTAATTATCAAACTTTATTTTTAAATTTTCACATGTTTGTGATTTATGTTATTTATGTCAGCTTGATTAAACTCAATAAACTGTAATGATGTAGGTCTAATACATGTCCATTGTATTTGAAACTATCATTCCTGTATATTTCAGATCTCAGATTTTGGACTTGCAAGATATGAAGACACTAACCAAGAAGGGGGCAGGTTCCCTATAAAGTGGACTTCACCAGAAGCTCTGAGAGACAGTGTACGTTCAATTCATACTTCTCCTTTGATCAAAATAAGTTATTTAGGGAAAATAGGCTCAAACCTCTCCCTCCCCTTTGTTATTATGTCATCACCAAAAGTGGTGACATTTTTTTTACGGTGTTTGCTGGTTGATGTTCAGCATTCAGCAGTTGTCATCTGTAACAAATGGCAGGTGGTGACATTTTGCAAGTTAATGCCTTGTATTTATCTAACATTATTTGAATTCAATGATTTGCTTTCACAAGTGACTTTGTGTAAATTTGGATTTTTTTTTCACTGTCAAGAAAAATCTTGATTCACAATGTTTCGATTTTTCCTACCTCACCTTCATAAATCTGCCAGATTTTACCAACCACTGTGTAAATAAACCCCAGCTGAGTCACTCTCAATATTGCTCCTCCTGGCAGTTGCCTGCAGAGTTTTGTGAGATGCCACAAAACCAATCGGCCAATCAACAATGCGATATTTATTCAGTCCGTATACTAGACATTTTCAATATTTTGTAACTTGACGAAGCAGAGCATTCTAATTTGGTCCCTGGACCATGAACTGCCACATATGAATGGGTCTCTAGACCCAGTGTAAAGGGACAATGGTCAAGAAATGCGTCTGTAACAAATTATCTCATTTTTGTAACCATTTGCAAAAGTTTAGCAGGTGATGACATTTTATTGTGTAAATGTCTTAGCACTGATCATAATGATATCCCACATCTCTAGTTCTCATATAATTCTCTTTAATATTAGTCAAATGAAAAATCAATACAATGACATTGACAGTATTGTATATTCAAGGGTTTCACTAGAATTTCTCACGGCAGGCTAAATAAATGAAAACAACATGCAAAATTAATGGGAGCCGTAAAGTTAACATGGAAAAGTCCCTAAAAACAACAGGCGATTTTGTGAAAACAAATGTTTAAAATTGCCTGTTGCCTGCTGCTAATGAAACTCCTGAGTTATGTGGACATATAAGTTTACTATCTTATATCTGTGCTTACATGCAAAAATCATAATAGATTCCTTCTTTTTTCCAATTACAGAGGAAACCTTATTACTAACATTCCATGTCAAAGTTCTCATTATCCAATATTGAATGTTTTGAGTTCTTTTTTATTATGGTTTCCTTTATTTTTATTACATTTATAGTCGAGCACATTGACCAGCCATAAAAAGAGGCATTATTAACCTGAAGAAAATTCATTTATACAATAGAAACAAATTGTTTGAACTTTTGATATATTAATATTTTTTTATGAGGTAAACTCCTAATAGATTTTACCTGAGTTAACCTGATATTTAAATATATCTTGCGCATACTTAGATGGTTTTTACTTCTTTTTATTTATTTATTAAAATCACTTTAACATATCTATATAACATTAATAAAGACATCCCAGTTGTTTTATGTCATTGTTGACTGTATACTTTCAGAGATTCACCAGACTTCCTTGTTGTTTTATGTTGATTGTATACTTTCAGAGATTCACCAGACATCCCTGTTGTTGTTCTATGTTGACTGTATACTTTCAGAGATTCACCAGACATCCCTGTTGTTGTTTTATGTTGAGTGTATACTTTCAGAGATTCACCAGACATCCCTGTTGTTGTTTTATGTTGACTGTATACTTTCAGAGATTCACCAGACATCCCTGTTGTTGTTCTATGTTGACTGTATACTTTCAGAGATTCACCAGACATCCCTGTTGTTTTATGTTGACTGTATACTTTCAGAGATTCACCAGACATCCCTGTTCTTGTTTTATGTTGACTGTATACTTTCAGAGATTCACCAGACATCCCTGTTGTTGTTCTATGTTGACTGTATACTTTCAGAGATTCACCAGACATCCCTGTTGTTGTTCTATGTTGACTGAATACTTTCAGAGATTCACCAGACATCCCTGTTGTTGTTCTATGTTGACTGTATACTTTCAGAGATTCACCAGACATCCCTGTTGTTGTTTTATGTTGAGTGTATACTTTCAGAGATTCACCAGACATCCCTGTTGTTGTTTTATGTTGAGTGTATACTTTCAGAGATTCACCAGACATCCCTGTTGTTGTTTTATGTTGACTGTATACTTTCAGAGATTCACCAGACATCCCTGTTCTTGTTTTATGTTGACTGTATACTTTCAGAGATTCACCAGACATCCCTGTTGTTGTTCTATGTTGACTGTATACTTTCAGAGATTCACCAGACATCCCTGTTGTTGTTCTATGTTGACTGAATACTTTCAGAGATTCACCAGACATCCCTGTTGTTGTTCTATGTTGACTGTATACTTTCAGAGATTCACCAGACATCCCTGTTGTTGTTTTATGTTGAGTGTATACTTTCAGAGATTCACCAGACATCCCTGTTGTTGTTTTATGTTGAGTGTATACTTTCAGAGATTCACCAGACATCCCTGTTGTTGTTTTATGTTGACTGTATACTTTCAGAGATTCACCAGACATCCCTGTTGTTTTATGTTGACTGTATACTTTCAGAAATTCACCAGTAAGTCTGATATGTGGAGCTTTGGAATATTACTATGGGAAATCTATTCATTTGGAAGAGTGCCTTATCCACGTATAGTAAGTATATACCATGCTAAAAGTTGAATATATACTGATCGGTTCATTATTTGGGATCTCTATGCATTTTGCAGTGATTTCTTGCCTTATTTCCCTGCTGATTCCACTCCTTTTCACTCGATTTTGTATTTCAAAACATATCAACAATGCAATCATTTGATTCAAAATTGTTTTTTACAAAACTATTTTCTTATTATTCTAGTGTTGACACAATGTTGTCTAATAACCCAGATGAGAGTAGGTAGTCACCAGTTAAGCCACCAGGTGGCTAATTCGGGGGAAATAACATGGCATGGTATTACACAGTTCCCTTAAATTTGAATGTTCATCAGTTTAAGTGGTTCACTTTTCATATTACCATTACGTATCAGATAGTTATACAAATTAAAATATGTGCAGTAGAAGAAAATATTATCTGCCATCACAAGGAAAGATATTTAACTTTTTGTGATTTTACCACATGGGGTCTATGGGGAATCTCCCTGACCTAGAAGTCACATTTTCAAAGAAAATTAAATTTTCAATTCTAATCTCTTTTCAAAACCACATTTCTAGCTGTAATTTTACATTTTCATTTTTAATGACATGAATCGAGATTATTTCTACTCGCATGTAGTCTATTGCCCATGATTCTCTTTGATTTAGTATTGTAATTGTCCAATTTAAGTATGTAAATGTTTAGCATGCATTTGTATTGTGTATTATTAAAAGCCATTATGGGGATTAGCAAGTTATTTTTTTGTTTATAGGTTGAAGTGATGAAATAAAATTGTTCTCCTATAAAAAAAATATGATAACTTGTCAATTCCTTGTCTTTTGGAAAATAATTCCACACAAAATGTATTGTCCTATATCATTTTACTAATGACATCCTGATTATCACTCATAAATATTTGTATACTGTAAAATAAAAGAGACTCTAATTTACTTCTTTGTGTTCTTTCAGCCTTTAGCAAATGTAGTTCAGCATGTTGAAAGAGGATACCGGATGGAATCGCCCGACGGATGTCCAAAAGAGGTTTATGATATCATGAGAAAGGCATGGGAACTCGATCCAAGAAATAGACCAACATTCGCTCAGACTCTTCCACTTTTAGATAGAATTAGAAAAAATGCTGGAACTTAAATAGATTATCCTGATGTACATGTGAATTGCCCTTTATTGGATAGCTGAGTGTGAAAAAGATCTAGGAAAGCACTGTTGCTCACTATTTAATGGGAATATAAAATCAAATGTATATATATAGGAGACCACTGTTGCTCACTGCATTGTTGTCATAGTATTAAAAGATCTCTGTAGAGGGGATTACAATATTGCAATATTGCAGACAATAGTCATGGCAAAAATAATGTCATACAAATCATGTCATGGCAAAAATACATAATTTTCTCTTCATTCTCGAAATGCATGGACTGCTGTTCATTCTTCGCAGTTCACCCCTGCTGATGGCAAATCCAGGTGTTTTTCAATAAATTGACAAAAGTGACACACATGGATCACTTTTGATATATCTCACGAAATTTATGATTCCTATGGGGAATGCACAATTACTAATATATCAGACAGTTGACTAACATGGTACTTTTAATGTTACAAAAATATTTGATTTACTAACCGCAGAGGGCATGCTGAAAGAGGAATTCACACCATTGGAGAATGATAACCTATGAGAAAGATATGTACGTATATGCTGAAAATGGCATCTCTGTCATATAATTTAATTATTTTGTACTCCTAGACCAAGCAATAGTAGTAACATTTAAGAATTAGCTTTGTGTAATATATCAAAGTTATTTCCAAGTAATTAAAATATGCATAATTTTTACATAAATTTATGTTATAATAAAGCTAGGAATCCACCTATTATAAACTTCCTTTTTCACGTCACATTTCGTTCTCTATTGGTCACATACTGTAAATACAAATTATCTTGCCTTTAAATGTCCTTCCACTGTATTGTTTGTGGGCGAAAGTGACTAAAATAACCCTTAGCACCAGAAGACTATTGCATCCCACCCTGTGTTGACATTCAACTTTTGAAAGCAGAAATTCTAAATTGCTAGATGAGAAGTAACCTTATTGCTCTTATACACTACAGTTGGTAATCAAAAGAGAATATTCAAAGCCTACTCACTAATCCAATGTTCGCACCTGAGTCAACAGACTTCACACGCAATACATGAGAAACATAAGGCATATTTATAATCACAACTATATTTTATTTAAACTGGATGTACTAAAATATTGTTTCAATAATGTGGGACTGTAAGTATTTTACAGTAGACCCTGTACATGTGAATACGATGAACACCTGTCAGGCCCCTAGCCAGGGGGGTTCGATGGGTTCGAACCCCCCCCCCCTGGCCAAAAAAATCTTTCAAAATCATGCAGTTTTTCACCATTCTGAGCACTTTTTAAGTGATATTGGCCATTTTTGTACCAAAATTGTCACAAGTGAACCTCCCCTGGAATTTTTCAAAAAGTGAACCCCCCTTGGCAAATCCTGGCTACGGGCCTGCCTGTTCAACATAAACACCTTTGAATGTCTCCATAATATGAATAGTTATGCCTCAGTCGCATTTGATCTACGACAACCATACGGCGGCCATAGCTTGCCAAAATGTAGAGAAATATCCACCATAAGATATAACGATTAACAGTATGATTTAGATTTTCTATCAATTTTGTGAAGCTACAGCCTGGCGCCTTACGCCCGCCATAGAGCAAACATGGCTGAGGCTTTAATAGTAAGTTCACATTTATAGTTTGAACACTCAAATGTGAACAACTCTAACGTGGCAACATATAAGTGATCATTTGTACAATGATGAAACCCTCTGAAATGTGATACGTATAAAACTAAACACTTTCAGTCTTCAGGATACTCAAATCTAATGAGACTTTTTTGTTCCTTCATTTTTACATGTATTTGCAAGATCAGTAAAATGTTTCATCTCATTTTGCCTTTCAAAGCACATCATGTTGAAAGTCACCATACATGCTAAAGGGCTGTATTGCACTTTGGTATAGTGTATTGCCTTTCGGTATAGTGTATTGCTTTCAACTGTAGGTGAGTGTTAATGTATATTGTTGGTCATGATTTTTATCACCATATTGAACTACTGATTCATATGTATTCTAAGATTACTGTATGTAGAAATTAAAATTAAAAAGACTGTACAATTAAAATATTACATTTTGTACATAACAGATACAAACAAGAGGAAACAGTTTCTGTAAAAAGAAGAATTGATTTTTGTATTGTAAATAGTGTTGGATGAATACTGTAATTTTTTCAATTTGGTGCCTATTTTTAATTTGGCAATTTGCTAATTCTGAACAAAATAGCCAATCTAAATTTCACTCAGTGTTCAGTTCATAAAGTTATCCTTATTTCAAGGGATTTTTAGAAAATCAGCTGAACTAAAAAGTCACCTCTATTAAAGAAAACTGTGAAAACGCCAAATTAAATTGCGCCAAAACAAGCTAATTTACAGTAAGATGGGACGTGCAAATGCAAATGCTTAACAGGCTATTAACATACTATGCAAAGCTGTGTGTGTTAATCACAATAGGAACAATATGTATGTATGTAATAAAATAAGTTTGAAATAAATGTCAAATAGTTTTGAAATATTCAGAATGTTAATGTTTATTCAGATGCTGTGTATTGTTGCCATGCAGATGATATGTATTGTTGCAATTCAGATGATATGTATTGTTGCAATTCAGATGATGTGTGTTATATGGCAATTAAAATCTGCTGAATGATAGCGATCTGAGGTTTTGATGAGAATTATTCTAAAAAAATATTTTTGAAGGATTTTCGCTTAATGGCCATCGATTAGACCTGTTTGTCCTAGTAAAGTTTCAGGTACATACCAGGGGAGAGAGAAATATCTTGGGGAAGCAAGACATACTATTAATTGTATATTCTGCTGTATCACTGTGTATTATCTCTTATAGCGAATAGTAAACAAATACTGGATGACCATGAGGTGGATATGCCAGAATACCTATCCTCGAAAAGAAATACTTGGCTCGGCTTCGCCACGCGTAATATTTTTTTTCGAGGATAGGTATTCTGGCATATCCACCTCATGGTCATCCAGTATTTATTTTATTATGCACCTCCCTCCTAAATTTAATAAATAAAAGATGGTGTTAAATTGTCAAGAAATACTTTATTTTAAAGAATGGCTCTACTAAAATAGAAGCCGAGCCTAGTATTTTTTTCGAGGATAGGTATTCTGGCATACGGGATGGTTGGAGATCTCGTTGCTTCAATACTGGATAGAACGAGATCTTGCTGCCACGTATGGCAATAGAACCTGCAGCTCTTAACCAATCAGATTTGAGTATTTTAATGAGGTGCATAATAATAGAATATACTTAAAGTTCATTCAGAGGAATATTTTATGACCAAATAAAGTATTTTTAGAGTAATAAACTCTATTGGCTTAACATCGACATGCTGTCTGTTCAAATAATGGATATTGTTAACGTTTAACTACAAATAATAAAGTTTAATTGGCCTACAGGCTTCTGTACCAGGATAGATGAACGACGTCACGTACGACATAGAAACAGCAATGATTAAACGTTAACTAAAATGAGAAGGTATTTGTCAAATTGATGGAAACTAAGTTTGATTGAATTTGGTCAAGTAGAACTAGATCTCAAAGCCGGCGTGAACGCTGAGAGTTGATGATAAGACTAGCATTTCAACCGCCATTAGTTTCTAATTTGTCTTGGAGAAAAACAATTTAGTCTCATTCACAAGCAAAGTACATTCCAGCAATAATAACAAACCTGAACAAGGGAGTTCATTTACCATTGTAATTACTTCTGAAATTGCGCTGCCTAGCCAGAGGTCCTTCATTTTAAACAGGTTATTTGCTTCTTGTCATTAGTTAAGACAGCGTTCCGGCTGAATCGAGGCACTGTCATTATTTTTTTGAAAAATTGTACTTATTCTTGAGAATTCTTGGAGATTGAATAGCAATTGATCTGCTTATCAGCAATTAACGTTTTCGCCTACGTCCTATTATTTCTCTGTTGTACTATTATCAATCAGAGGGCCATCATCCTCCTAAGCAGGTATCCAGAATCCGTGCCTCCTTCCGGTTAAAAGAAAAAATATATTTTCTGGATTTTGAAGCTCTGTGATAGGAGGATGGAGGGCCATTTATTAACAGAAACTTCGTAAAGTTTACAATCCTTTGTTATTGCGTCTTATATCAACGGTTATAACAATTGGTTTAGAATTCTTTATGAAGTCTGTAAATGTCTGTGTTCTCAGTTTCCTGTACATTATATCTTTCTTTACAGTTGATTGTCCTTTATTATTTCACTAAGATGGCTTTAATCGGCTTAATTGAATAAAGTGTCGAGACAATTGACATCTTTGCTCATTAAAACGGTGAGAACCTGTTGCATCTGTTATAAAATGAATTATACGGTATCATGAAGAAATCATCAGTTCAAAAGGAAAAGTATTTTGCATTATTTCCCTCCATGTCAGTCACTATTTGTACAATATTCGTATGTTTGTAAAATACCATTTCAAGTTTGGTCGTCATGTCATTCCCCGTTATATTTACACATATTCGATGTAAAAAGGTTATAACAAAATACTTTAGCCAAGGCAAAACTGATACATGTAAATCAGGTACCCGTAGTCCTGATAAATCATGACATCTCATTCTCAGTACAAGTTTCAAGTGAACCAGAAAGATGCTACGAGTATCAGAATGCTAGTACTGTTTCATTTCAAAGCCATAGGACGTTGCAATTGATTTAATGCATGAATACTCCAGTCAACGAGGCCACTAATTATTTCTCCAACTATGTTTTTAATAAGGCCTAGGCCTGATAAGGCCTGCAATAAATCATTTGCATAAATCATTTGTCATATCGACTAGCATTAAAGCAGCGAAGCAGTGTCCTTTTGCCGTGTTGAATTCAAGATGAAGAAAAGAACAACATCAGAATCTCATCAACAGATCAAGCAAGAGAATTAACAGCATGAGATTACATCAATACGCTGTTACTCCAGTCAATGATGAGGCCATTAATTTAATTCATCATATGAGAATGGCAAAAGTAAATGGTTATTGTTGTAATAAATAAATAAAACACGTAGGTCTAGTATCTATCTGAACGTTTAGATTTCTCCAACTATGTTTTTAATAAGGCCTGATAAATTATCAAGACCCTCTGCATTCGTTCGACTTCGCTTCTTAAAAGAGAGCTTCATCATATAGTTTTAAATTTGATTCTTAAATAGCGATTGATAGATATACTTATCTGAATGATGTCTCCACACTGATCCAAAAGTTTGGAAACGACAACTCTCCCTTTGAACCACGTGTTGAAGCAAGGTATGTTTGCGAATTAAAAAATAATAATACGGCCAGAGGTCAATGTTCATCTGAATTGTCATGCCATTTAATTGAGATTATGGAATATATTTAAGTCACAGGGCATATTGTTCTATACCCTTTGCATTCGTTTGACTTCACTTCTTAAAAGAGAGCTTCGTCGCGCAGAGTCTAGTTTAACTAGACTCTGCGCGCAGGGTAATTGTTCTATATTATAGTAAAACCTAGGATAAAGAAACATCCTAGAGTGCTACGTATGTTAACTAAGTGGGACATCCTCAGATTCGCCAAGAAGTGTTCCAATCTCAGAAGTTCGATTTACATAAAGAACAGCAGTGAATCATGAAATGTAAAAATGTTCCACTACAAAAGTGTTTTACTGTACTTTGAAACTCATGGTGGGTCTAGCTTCACGACATTTGAACCCTTTTTGCTAGCCATCATCCCAATTTTCTTGTTATGCTGAGTAAAGCCTTAATCACATTTGCTCTACGACGGGCGTACGGCGGCCGTAGCTTCACGCAATGCCGCACATTTCTCTCGATTTTGGGAAGCTAGAGTCGCCGTATGGTTGCCGTAGATCAAATATGACTGAGGCATAAGTAAAAGTATGCTTCCCAGCGTATATCACGCCTAACAATCGACAACGTAGCGACAAAATACACTTTAGCTGAAAATCGTGATGTAGGTTTTAAAACATTTATCTAAGGAATATGAAGTAGTATTTCATGTTTAATTTCATTTTCTATCACCATTTCCCATGCATGGTGGTTTGGAAACCCATCGTTTCCAATATTGTCTAGATGGTCCCAAACCTGCTCCAAAAAATGAAGTGTCGTTGTCTGGTACTCCGCCACAAAAATAAACATAGCGTTTCAAAGTACTGACTTCGCTTATTAAGAAAATATATTTCGTTTTTATTGTAACAGGGGCCTCTAAGAATCAGATCAGGTACTACATCACATGTTAGATCCCAAAAATTATTTATTTTCCATCTGATGCGTCTTGAAAATTCACATATTTTAACATGGGATTCAACTCCTTACTTCATCAAATCCATGACTAATTATCCATGGCCCAAACTGTACCCCTAATTGTGGATTAAAAGTACATATTGTTTTTTTTCTTCTCTGAAATAAAGAATTAAATGAAAAAAGTACATATTGTGCGTACGTTTTCCAATAGTTTGATTTCTCTCTTAAAAGAGAACTTCATCGACGCAACGCCTTATGGCTTAAAGAAGCGTGGTCGCATTTAGAAAGAAAAAACGAGGCTTAAAATAAAAGCGTTTTATATTTATTTTCTCTATGATTAGTTTCGTTAATAAATACGTGTATGTTATTGTATATCTCGAGTTTTGGGTAACGACTCTTACCTAGGACACTAAAGTTGTATTTTCACACGAAATCTTCTAATTAAAAATATTTTAATCATTATCTGTATGCCGTTCGTCGTATGCTTTTTCTTATTCAGTACTACTGTACTATTGTTCGATTCTTTTGATATCATGTTTGTGTGATTCATATTCAGTTACTCGCTTGATTAAATGGTATTCTAATCGGCGCCGTCTAAAATAATCTGATAGTCATATTTATATCGGTTCTGCTTTTAATCGGAAAAATCTCACCGCAAATGATGCCGATCCTATCTAGTTTCAGTTTTGTTAAATCCTTCATTTTGATTACCATTAATAACATATGTGTCTTTATATTTAGAGCCTTTCTGACGTTGTTCATCTGCAACTTGAGAGAGGTCTGCATCTGCATCTCCGGTCGTGTTATTCACATCAGAGAATCTACTAGGAATCATTTGCTGAAGGTTTACGGTAGAAGCGGCTACCCCGACAAAATATACAGGGATCATAATAAACATAAGTGCGCCGCTTGCCAAGTCAATGATATGAAAGATAATTGAGATGCCTATCATTGCCCCATATATAATAAAAAATCCGAATGCGTTTCCGATGGTTTTGCATGAAGATGGACGCTCTCCTTTTAACGGACCGTTGATTTTCATACTTGCTATGATAAAAAGCTTTAGACAGACCCAGAAAATGAAAAAAGTTGCAAAGAAAAAGCCAGGTATCCTGATAACTTCGGCCATTCTGGTGTAAGGCTTGCCATCTTGATCGAGTATTTGACTGTATGATCCAACCATGATCCCTATAAACACGAGGGGCGGTATAAACCGGAACCAACCTGAAATCTTATTCCAAAATGGGAGAATATAAATCCATGATAAGGCAAGTAAGCAAGCAAATCCGAATAAGAACATGGGCCAGAAATCTGCCACCTTTGAGGGATCGCCAGTTTGGAAAGCAACCATCGCACCATGTAGCAACATCCATGATTGTAGGATGAATCTCCACCAACGGTTCTGATGGAACTTGGTGTGCATCAGACTCCCCTGGAGCAATATGATCCAGGTATGAATGAAGCCGAGAGCGTGGCCATATGTGTTCTCCATAGGATGAAACCAGAACGTATAGATCGCAGCCCATGATATCGCATAGCCATGGTACTTCCGAGCAACATAAACACAATCCAGCGGAGCCCTGTAGATGAACTTGGAGAACCTGTCCGTGTCTCGTCGCATCGGCCAACCCATGATAAAGCCCTTCTCATTATATTCCATAAATAATATAAGTCCGATGGCCATTATCACCGACCCCTGGGAACTTGCAGTTACTGTATCTTGGGCTATACCATCGTATGTAGTGTGCGTATTGACGAAATGAACAATATGAAACACAACGTTTAGGCCAAGGGAAATCCAGTTGAACCGATCCATCTTTACAGTATACTTTGGCTCTCCTTTTGGTCGTGAAGCCTTTGCCATCTGTGCTGCGTAAGTGACGCACCAAATTGTCAATTGGTGTCCAAAGTAGGCTATCCACATGAACAATCTGCTCCAAATGGTCACCCTATCCGTGGGTAGCTTCCAGTAGTACCATCTACCCGCCGCCCCTGGGGAATCCCTCCATCTCACACCTGGTTCAAGGATGTACGGCTCCGGTAGGAACCTCTCCATAGAGGTCACACTGACATTGTGGAAGTACCCGGATGGTGCGTCCCATTCTCGCCAACCACCTAAATAGATTAAATAAATTCAACAAAATTAGCATTCAATCCGTATAATACCAGCTTTATCTATTATAGAGCCATTTCATTGTCATATACGTCATGTAATCGCACGGTAAGCCAGGGGTCTTGGGTTCGATCCCCACTGGGGTCGCCTGACTTTTTCACATCAGCCCTCACATCAGGATTTCATTCTGTATTTTCATTAACCAGTAGTAGAATAGTTGAGTGTTGATATTCTGATTAACGTTTGGCCTTGACCCCATTCCAAGAAAGCATAGTGTAATGATTTAGCTCTGATTCATTTTACATAAGAAGCAAATACATGTTCAATAGGAATAAAATGAATTTTAAACTCAAACAGTACACAATTTTCGTGACCAGTCTCAATTATGAGATTTAGCACCATTATCTTATTAGTTCTAAGTAGGCCTACTGATAATTAAATAAGTCTAATGAAATGGAATCACGATGTGGCCTTTAATACCGGACACCCGGGTGTTAACGTACCCATTGCGAATATTGCACCAATAAGGACAATTATAAATGCAATCCCGCCGATCAGCGCCATAATGTCTGCCCTGTTGTGCCATGCTATATCCTGTAAAAGAAAACATCAGATTTAGGCCTAACAACACAAAATAATCAAAACCGTTTGGCACGTATCCGTTTCTGATTGCATGATACCCGTTGCTTGTGCAAACTATTTATTTTTGCATCTATTTTTCATGAGCTTGTGAACCAAACTTAATTATTATTGAGAAGTTTTATAAATCAGCTATACATGCATGTATGTACAGTAAGTTCTAGTATAAATCATTAGCGATTTCCGGGCCAATTTCATACAAAGAGGTCCATACAAACGACTTAAATGTATTGGAGTTCAGACAAGCGAAAAGCTACACGACAAAGCATTGCAGGCCCGTAGCCAGGATTTGCCAAGGGGGGGTTCATTTTTCAAAAATTTCCAGGGGGGGTTCACATTTGACAATTTTGGCCCAAATATGGCTAAAATCACTTGAGAAGTGCTCAAAATGGTGAAAAACTGCATGATTTTGAAAGAATTTTTGGCCAGGGGGGGGTTCGCCCGAACCCTGCGAACCCCCCCTGGCTACGGGCCTGCATTGTATTCTACTTTTATCATATCTAAATATTCTTTCTGAGGAACACCTCGTGCATTAACTACCCTTTAATTTGATTTGCATTCGTTCGACTTCGCTTCTTAAAAGAGAGCTTCGTCTTAGCTTACAACTAGACTTTGTGTGCAGGGTATGCATTTTAATTATACGTATAAAACAAACATCGACCTTTTCTGTCTTTGTTTCATCATCATTGATGTCATGTTGTTGTTGATGATGGTATTGTTCTCCCTCGTTCTCTTTATTGTCACCTTTAATAGCAATGTCAGCTGGAATTTGTTTGATGTTTTCAACATCGTCTTGTTGCACAATTCGATCCAATTCTATGTTAACATCCTCATGCTTACTGTCAGCATCGTCCACTTGTTTTGTGTTGTTAACACGTTTGTTTTGCCCGTCATCATCATCCAATTCGAGATTAACATCCTGCCTTGGCCCAGACATACTGATATATGGAACACATCGAATTATGTGTACTATAGTCTTACTGAACATACATTACTTGTTATTGACATTACACGAAGTGCTTGACGTGTAAATGTTCTCAAAACCCACACTAAAATAAATCGGATTTATTCGGTGGTTTTAATAAATGCCCTTTTCAAGAACTCGGCTTCGTCTATACTCTTGACATAAGGAATAATTCATGGATGTAACCTTTCACTATATGGAAAGTCGAATCGAATCGGAAAACGTTCGAAATTGTACCTATTATGTGGTTCTGCATGTAAGTAGTTGGCATCATCCAGAAGTGAAATACCCTTGGACCAAGGATGAGTTGGCATCAATTTCATACTTTATAAGTGCTGTGAAATGCAATGCTTCTTTTGGGTAAATCGGGGGTAAACTTATTAGCATCAAACCTGCAAAACCATCTAGAATAGAGGTCCATGAGTTAGCTGGTAGGTTTCATGCCTCTTTAATATAAGGTCAATTTTTTATGTACAAAAATGTGCTTTCACTCTTACTCATGAATCATAGTTTTTTACGTTGGCGATATTGATATCAATAAATGTACCTATAAAGTAATTGTAAAAGTACATTTCGCACAAATACAGTTGGGGACAAAAATAAATGACAGGTCGATTTTCGATCACCATTTCCTAATTATGGTGGTCTGAAAGCCCATAATTTCCAATATTGTCTAGATACATATCCCTTAAAATTTGTATATTTTACATTTTGTATAATCTCATCCACTGATTTATGGCCTCTTGTAAATTCTCTTATTTTTAACATGGGAAATCCTCACTTCAGCAAATCCACCTGTCATTTATTTATGTCCCCAACTGTAGGTGTTGTTCATGGGAACATAGAAAATATTTTTTATAAGTAGTTCAAGTTGACAAGCTTGTTTTGAACACTTATATTTAATATTCAAATTAAATGAACTTACATCCAACCGTGGTGATTATTTCATAACACAATTACTCAGATGCGAGTAGGTAGTTACCAGTTTCGCCACCAGGTGGCTGATTCGGTCGAAATAACATGGCAGGGTATTACAAAATTCCCTTAAACTTTAATATGCATCAGTTTTAGTGGTTCACTTTTCAAATTACCCTTATGTTTGTGATATTTATACAAATTAAAAAGAAAATATTATCTGCCCAACACAATAAAAGATATTTCACTTTTTTAATTTTACAACAAGGGGTCTATGGGGAATCTCCCCGACCTAGAAGTCACATTTTCAAAGAAAATTAAATTTTCAAAGTTGATAAACTCTTTTCAAAACCACATTTTTAGATGTAATTTTATATGTAGATTCCAAATATGACATCAGTTTAACTGAATTGTGAATTTTTTAATGACGTAAATCAAGATTATTTCTACTCGCATCTAGAATATTCTGAACAGCTTTAATGATGAATTTTTTAGACAATAATCTAAGCTTGCTAATGTAAACCCAGACAATATAACAAATGATGTATCGTGTGCTCCAATAATTTCCAACTTGTTCATAAAGTATTGTGTAAGTAACCAGCTCTCAAAAGGGATTTGCTTGATATTTCATACTCATAAAAGTTCACGTTTTATTATGTCCATATGATTTGTATCCTCCACCACATGTTCAACACATTCAAATTCCTAAGAAACTAGATATAATTGAGAATTCATAAAAAATCATTTAAATACTACATTGCATTCGTAACATTTCTCAAAGTAATCATTTAAAATCGTATTGGTGAATAGCTGAAATATTACTGTTTCGAGGATACACAATCTTCGACAGCAAAACCTAAATTCACCACAAAAAAGCAATAATTCGTCTGATGTTTTCGTTGTCTGTCATTTAAAAGGTAACCCCCAAGGGCACTTTCTGGCGAAGCTTTCAACATTATCCATCAACAACTTATCAACAACATTAATTAAAGCAGTGTGTCGGAGGATACATATCATATGGACAGAATAAAATGTGTTCTGTTTATGAGCATGCAATATCAAACAATCCCCTTTTGAGACCTGGTTGCAAACATAGTTTAGTAACAAGTTGAAAATTATCTAAGGATATGAAACATTATCTTTTCTGTTGTCTGAGTTTATGTTAGCAAATTTTGATTTTTGTATAGAAAAATCACCGTTTAAGCTGTTAAGAATTATATATACAAAGATATATTCAAACTTATATATCACGTGGTCATGATAGCCAGTTGTGTTGATATTAAAATAGCACACATTAAGTGTCGTTGATATTAACACACATGGCGGAGGTTTTGGTAGAACAACAGATTTTGACTATTATAATATCAATTAATCGTAAATGAGTGGTATCGATATGGAGAACTTTTTGAACACATGTTTCTCTACCAGTCATAAAAAAATCTAAAAATTTAACACATCGTCAATTTAATGGTCATCTTTTGAATGTTAACAATATAATTTGAAATATATATATATACTTTCATCTATATTGTTTTAGACAACACATCAAGCACTTGTTTTGTTTTTGGTATCATGTTTCCAGAGTGAAGTGAAACATCTTTCCGAACCTCATTGGAACAAAACGACATAAACACAACATGTTTAGGTTTCTCTATATTGTAATTGTACAAAGGAAATGTTGGTTGATTTAAAAAAAGTATCTTGTTAATGAAATAAAAGGTTTATCTTGATTTTTATCTATTTTGGGGGGGGGGGATTTTGTTTTAATTATTTGAATAGTTTTTTAAAACCAACCAAAAATTCCTTTGTATAACTTTAATATTGAGAGTTCTAAAACATGTTGTATATGCTATTTTGTTCCAACAAGGTTCGGAAAGTAATTTTCGCATTACGTTGTTGTCAATCAGTCAACACTACATAAAATAGCGTGTTTTTACAGAATGTTTTCAATGATTGAAAGAGAAAAACATTGTTGAATTCAGTTCTCCATATCGATACCAATCCTTTGCCCATAAATACAAAAATATGTAAAAAGTGCATCAACATTTTGCATTGTTTCTCAAATATTGATGAGATAAACGGTTTAACTGAATCGTTTTTATACTACAATAGCAAATGCTCATCGTGAGATATCACAGCCTTCTCTCAGTGTCTTTCTTGTGCATAGCAGAGATGGTCTGAGTATCAGAATGGCAAATGCTAAAATTATGTTAGTTTTTCACAGTATGGGTCCTAATACGTGTTAAGATATGGACTGTTATTCCCAGGGGTAAATTATCAATAAAGGAGGACTTATTATTGCTCATCCTTGGCTAATAGTTTGGCTACAGCTAAAATGATTCAGTCCGTAGTTAGATATTGGATATTGCTCAGTTGCTTATAATATGAAACAGCCACCAATTCAAGACCTGATCGAATTCTTAAATTTTTAATCTTTGAGAATAAAAATGGTAATCATTGGCTTCAAAAATGTGATGATTACCAGCAGTAATGCCAAACAAAAATTAATCACCAAAAAATCTATCGATAGCAATTAGCCAGTGCAGTAGTAACGTCGAGGAAGAATTGCATATACCCCTTATTAGATTAATTGAAAAAATTAAGACATATGGACCTCCTTAATATTGGTTCAACTATTGCTGCACTGAAGAATGCTACAGATTTTTCACGGTCCGGAGTCATACTTTGGACTACCCAGAGTACTTAATTTCTAATGGGGAAAAGACAGTGTTGAAACTTTCATTTAAAAACTGCTCCATCAACTGAATATTCAACTGAAAATGTGTCGATTTTCTCTTCACTGTCATTTCACTCATAGGCATCATTCATATTAATTCAATTTTGATCGACATCTCTCATTTAAAAATACGAGCACTGAGAATGTAAATCATTTTCATTATGGATATTTCATCTAAAATTTATTCGTTATTTACTAAAATATGCAAATTGGTAGACAGGCTTTTATGCAATTCATTAGTAATGTTATAACTAATGAAATTCAAAAAAATACTTCACTTATGTATGATCACGGGATTAATTGTATGAAGCATGTACAAACATATTCAAGTTACTGCTTCTCCACATAGGGTAAACGTAAGTAGGTGTGATTATTAGAGGTGTCACCCGCATCGAAGTCGACCCGAATCCCGGGTCGGAAGGCTCGGGTCGAGTCACGAACAACAATTCTTTATATTTCCCGCAAACTTTTGACTTGCCCATTTCTTAAATACGTATGAATTACGAATGGGAAATTGTGAAGATTGAAGGAAATACAAGATTCGTTTTATTAAATCCTTAGTAAATGCACAGGGTCCGGATCAGTCTCACTTGAAATATGTAACTTCTTAAAACATTATGCGACAAATCCTAAGTGAACTGTTATTCACAGTGCGTGCCATTATGTTATACGTATTGTAACGTTTTATAGTAATGCCTAGGTCACATTTGCTCAAATTTTCATTCTGGCACCCAGACTATGAGTTTTTGTTCGCTCGTTACAAGGTCTTTCAGATGTCTCTTTGATATTTTCGGCAAATTTTGCAGGTGATGTACGTGTACCTGTACCGAATGGGATCATACTCTCGGCGAATCCAAGACATCGGAGAAAAGTCATCGGTACCCGGGACATCGGGAAATCGGCAGATTCCTACTTATTGACCGGTATCCTTCGCAAATGTGACCTAGGCATAGGTGATTCAATTGCATTTTGTTCGTCTGTTCCTCCATGTGCCCAGGTGATTACTCAAATACCGATTGTCCGATTTGGTCCAAATTATTGCAGTTTTCAATATGGCTACTCAATTTAAATTACCTCCAAGTTTCGAAGAAATTTAATCTTTGATAACACAAATACAAGTTTTTCATATTTGGTTCAAACTTTATAATATAAGATGAAAGCCTATGGGCTTTGAACTCTGCGAGAGAAAAATATGGCTTCAGTATGGATTCAACAATATGGCTGCTTAATACAGAATGGCTGCCATTATATATTAGAACTCAAATACCGTTTTTTCAGAATTGGTTTATATTTAAAAGGCTATTGTCTTATAGTTTTAGTCTCTCTGCAAGAGAAGGAAGGTCAATATGGCTGCTTATTTAAGGTGTTTATATTCATTTTTGTGGAATCTACCACTCCGTGGAGTTGCTGTTTCTCATTTGAAATTAA